ACGTTCCACGTTCATGAAAGTCGCCATGTTTAGTTAAAATTCACTCTTACAACGATCCTACTGGTTTTCTAAGCTGCTTTACAGACAGCTCAGTTATTTGCCACGCCGATGCTCATTTCTAGATTAAATGCTCATAAAACGCGTAGATGTTAAGTTTGTGTCCGGGGAGATACAATGTTTCCAAGTAGGTACTCAGTACATAGAGTAGATGCTCAGGTATATAAGAGTAATAATGAAGTAGGTACTTCTTACTTCGAATATGAGTATCTACTCAGTTTTATTCATACCACCCAATGTCTCGCTTCAATGTTTGATTATGTTGATTATGAGCACAACGCTGATCAACTTCCATATCCGAATTACCCATGAAATAAATCATTGCGGTTTGCACCTGAGGTAGTTCGTCGCACATTTGATTGACTTCGTGGACCTATGTGAGCTTGTCGTCTTCTCGGCATTTTAATGAACTTCATAAAACGACACAGAATTATTTTCACAGTCAATCAAATCTGTAAATTTTGTCTTGAGAATTTTAAAATATTGAAAACTTCAAATTAAATCCTCGAATAACGGTAAAGTTTGAGGTTTTGTCGAAACCAACAAAGTGAATATAGGTAAAAAGAATGGCAGATCAAAATGAATAAGAAACTTTCGCAATGTGTAATTAAATTCACTTTAACCAAGACTTTTCTTAAAATAAACGACGTTTTTTTTTACGAAAAAACAAAGAACGATTTGAAATGCAATATACTTTTCACAATCGCACGGAAGAATTAGTTTTGTATGACACGTCAGTTAGACGACAGGTCCGTTAGAAACGCCAACTATTGAAATTAATTTGAAGTGGCGATTCCCATACAAAATTTTTAGAATTTTTTATGTTTTAACTGTTCTTTTAAGTTATCCTTATTTTTTTTATTTATAAACCATCCCCGTAATATAAAAAAATGTTCAAATCGGTCAAGCCGTTTTTGAGTCTTAGCGAGACTAACAGGAACAACAATTGGTTTTTATTTTATAGACAATTAAAAAATGGGGGTTGGTGGTAGAAAGGTAAAAATTTAGGGTTATATGTATTTTTTTATGCCAAATCTTAAAAAAATAAAAATAAATTTTGTCCAAAAAATAGACAAACATTTTTTAGGGTGGGCCACCCTTATCACTTAGGGGTTTAAAAAATAGTTTACAACTTATTGTCAGACTTACCGAATATACATAAAAAATTTCATACAAATCTGTCAACCCATTTCGGAGAAGTTCGGTTATAAACACTGTGACGCGAGAATTCTATACATAATGCATTATTATTTTAGAACAAATTTCATTACCATAAAAAAGGTTATACTGACTCGACCTTAAAAGATAGACATATGCTGTCGCGGACTTTTCTTTAGAACTTTTAGAGGGGAACAATTTCGTCATACATGATTTTAACGTAACTTTAACCGTTTAAGCAGCGTAAGCAACGGAAGCTGTCAAAGGAGGAATAATTTTCCCGTTTTTCCGAATTTTTCATTGCTACTTCGCTCCTAATGATCGTAGCGTGATGTTATATAGCCCAGCGGTCCGCAACCTTTTTTGTCTAGCGACCCAAAAATATGAATAGAATTATAAGGCGACCTATACGATAAATAGAGGGGTGTGAAGGTTAGGGGGTATGGGGTTACTTAAAATTGCGGGACCTGTACAAAATGTCTATCTCAAATAAAATTAATTTCTAGCCTTTAGAATTTGTTATTTTTCTATAAGATACAAACTATAACTATAATAATAATTTTTACCTGAGCATTTATCTTCCGAAATTACAAAATCATTTTTTAAATAAGTACATACAGGGTGTCCCAGAATTCGCGCCATTCCCGTGAATGACATGTTCCCTGTCCCGAACTGTGCCGTAATTCGCAAAAAGAATTGTCCAGGCTTTAACCGTGTGAGAACTGGAAGGCGATTAAGTTGACCAATAGAGAGGCTGCTTTTATATCCGAACGTTTCTATGTTCAAAGTTACCTATGCCAAGAACAAAAAATCGGGTAATACTAAAGTTGAATGAATTTTTTTCGAATCCCCCTCCGTCAACAAAAGGAAACAGAAGTGTGGTTATAAATTTAATCATTTTGACAATTGTTTGTCATAAACTGTCACGAAGTTCATCACTGACCTGAACAGACGCTTCTGCCCCCAAAGATGACTGATTAATGTACACAGAGACGTCAAGGTTTACTTTAAGGCAAGTAGCATGGCACAGAAGTTATTTCTGCTGCCATTCTAGTTAAATTGTGTTTAACTGGGCTGTACATGTCATAAGAGAAGCTGTTTCATTTCATCGTAGGCAAATAATACATTTATTACTATTCTACATAGAGTAGCTACCGAAGAGCAGGTATTAGAAGTGATTTTCTTAGAGCCCCGTGAATAATGTGTTGTTCTTTTTAACGAAAATTAGTACATTTTCAGAATGCATCATATGCCTGATATTAAGTTTATCGTTATTTCTAAAAAAGAGTACCACATGTCCATTCAAAGAACGTTATTAAGTGTATTTAAACATAAATATCGCTTTTGATTAATCAGTGATTATGATTTTCAATAAACAGTATCAATTTTTACTGAACAGCTTTGTTGCTGATACCTAATCTAAGCAACGAAAAAATAGACGAGACTCCACTTCTCTGGTGTATTAAGATCATAGGTATCTGCTGTGGTGTCAATCATGTGGGGAAGATACTGAAAACTGAGACTTATTCAAGAATAATATTGATGTTGCACATGATGATTTAAGACAGTTTCTTTAAAGTTGTGAGTACATACTTTCTAGAGATTGAAAAGATACGAATAAAAATTATAACAATAGTTGCAATTTTTTTTAAGAACAATACAAACAATTTATGGAGAATGTACACGCTATGCAGCCACTGCTGTGCGCGAATATACAGGTCTTTTCCCCAATCATCGGCTCCTTGACCAGCATGTGTTTCGTCGTTTGTTGCATCCAGCAAAAGAAGATGGATCTTTTCAGCCTATGCGGAAAGCCGTGCTGGGGCTCCACGGATTATACGCATAGACAGTGAAGAACAAGTGGCACAAATGATTGGATGCTCAAGATCGATCATGCATCGTATCCTTACAGAGAAAAATCTGCATCCTTACTATTGACGAAAGTGCAGCATCTGCGACGAGCCGACTGCGCGACGAGTGCATGTTGCTATATGGTTACTGCGACAAAATGAACTAAATCCTGATTTTTCACGGCACATTCTTTTCGCCGACGAATGTTGATTTTCCCGAAAAGGAATATTTAATGCGCACAATTCACTTCTTCTGGGCAAACGAAAATCCACATTTCGCTAACGTGAGAGCATATCAAGAGCAATACTATTAATCTATGGGCTGGAATCGTTGTACTGTAACGTTATTAAACAATGTGCTCAAAATGACCACCATTAACTTCAATGCAAGTTCTAGCTCGTTGAATTATGTTGTGTTGTGTATTATGTAACATCTCAGGAGTAACTGTAGCGTAGGCTTCGTGCAGTCTCTCTTCCAGTTCTTCTAACATATCTAGGGGTTCTCTATATACGTAATTTTTAATTTGATTCCAAAAAAAAGTCCAAAGCAGAAAGGTCTAGAGATCTAGGAGGCCAGATATTAGTACTGCCACGCCCAATCCACCTATGACGATACTCTTTTCAATGTTCGTCGTACAAGTATCGAATTATGTGGAGGAGCGCCGTCGTGCTGAAACCACATATTCCGCCGTACATTCAAAGGAACGTCTTCCAACAATGCCGGAAGCTCTAGTCGTAGAAAATTAGCATATGCATCCCCATTAAGGCGATCAGGTAATCTGATAATTTTATCAGATGCATTAAAATTTTTACCACAGTAGTACCAATGATTCCAGCCCATAGATTAATAGTAAATCGCTCCTGATATGCTCTCACCCTAGTGAGATGTGGATTTTCGTGTGCCCAGAAATGCCAATTGTGTGCATTAAACATTCCTTCTCGGGAAAATGAACATTCGTCGGTGAAAAGAATGCGCCGTGTAAAATCAGGATTTAGTTCATTTTGTCGCAGTAACCATTGAGCAAAATGTACTCGTCGCGGGTAGTCGGTTGGTCGCAGATGCTGCACTCTCGTGTAATGGTAAGGATGCAGTCTTCTCTCTTGAAGGATACGATGAGTGGTCGATCTTGAACATCCACTAATTTGCGCTACGTAGAGGACACTTCTCCTAGGATCCGCTTCCATGTTTCCTAACACTTGCTCTTCAGCACCTACACGTACATTCCGTGGAGCCCCAGCACGGCCTTTCCGACTAGGTTGAAAAGATCTTCTCTTGCTCGATGTAACAATCGGTGAAACACATGTTGGTCTGGGTGCCGACGATTATTCACGGGGCTCTAAGAAAATGACTTCTAATACCTGCTCTTCGGTAGCTACTCTATGTAGAATAGTAATAAATGTATTATTTGCCTACGATGAAATGAAACAGCTTCTCTTATGACATGTACAGCCCAGTTAAACACAATTTAACTAGAATGGCAGCAGAAATAACTTCTGTCCCATGCTACTTGCCTTAAAGTAAACCTTGACGTCTCTGTGTACATTAATCAGTCATCTTTGGCGCAGAAGCGTCTCTTCAGGTCAGTGATAAACTTCGTGACAGTTTATGACAAACAATTGTCAAAATGATTAAATTTATAACCACACTTCTGTTTCCTTTTGTTGACGGAGGGGGATTCGGAAAAAATTCATTCAACTTTAGTATTACCCGATTTTTTGTTCTTGGCATAGGTAACTTTGAACATAGAAACGTTCGGATATAAAAGCAGCCTCTCTATTGGTCAACTTAATCGCCTTCCAGTTCTCACACGGTTAAAGCCTGGACAATTCTTTTTGCGAATTACGGCACAGTTCGGGACAGGGAACATGTCATTCACGGGAATGGCGCGAATTCTGGGACACCCTGTATATTATATTATAATTATTACTTATATACTAATGACTTTTTTGCTCCTGGTTGTCGTTCACTAGTTTGTCAATCCTTGCTTCAATCGACTTTGTCAACGCAATTCTCATTGTGGCGTCAATGCTTTCAAGCCGATTTCTATATTTATTTTTAATCGAAGCTAGAGCTGAAAAACCACTTTCTGCTAAGTATGTTGTTGCAAACGGTAGTAGGAGCTGCATTGCTTTTTCACTTAAAGCTTGGTATTCATTTCGTATTTGTATCCAAAATTTTACCAAGTTTTTTTGACTGATAAACTGCGTTTGAAGCAGTTTATCACACGACAATTCTGCTAATTGTTCTTCATCAGGTGAACACAAGATATTATTTGCATGTGGTAGAAACGGATTCTGTATCCACATGTTACCTAAACGGATATCTGCAGCGGGAGGAAAATAGCTGAGAAATCTTTCTTTTAATTGCAGTAAATGATTTTGAATTATGATACTTATATCACCAAATTTCTCATCTTCTAATATTTTGTCTTCGATCATTTGATGATAACATGGAAACATATCAAATTTTGCTTTACCTATTCGATCTTTCCAAATATCAATTTTTTTAATGAATGCTTCGATTTTGCTATTACATATAAATAAGTTAGTCATGGACCCTTGCATTGACAAAGTTAATTCGTTAACTAATGAAAAACTATCAGCAAGATAAGCAACTTTTGCCAGCCATGTATTGCTTTTGAAATATACTACTAATGGTGAGTTCTGATTATTTAAAAATATTTCAATTTCCATTCTTAGGTCGAAAAATCGTTTCAGCACTCTGCCTCTTGAAAGCCATCGTATATGTGAATGTAATAACAAAATTTTGTGATCCGAACCGATTTCTTCACATAATAAAGCGAAAATTCGAGTCTGTACTGCGCTGTTACGAATGTGATTTATTATTTTCACACACTGATCTAAAACTGCATCTAAATCTGTATTTATATTTTTGCATACCAACTGTTCGCGATGAAGAATGCAGTGGGTTTTAATAATATTTTTATGTGAAATTTGGGCTATTTGTGTAACAACACCTTTGTGTTTTCCTACCATTGCTGCTGCACCATCTGTGCATATTCCGATGCATTTGTTCCAAGAAATGTCTTTAGATTCGAAGTATGAATTGATGGTTGCAAAAATTTCGTGGGATGTGGTGTGGGACTTTAATTGTAAAGTACATAAAAACTCTTCTTTCATATCTTCCAATTCAAAATCAATATACCTGACATATACTATTAATATAGCATTACTTGAAATGTCTGTGGTTTCATCCAATTGTAATGCATAATACGGAGAATGTCCTAATTTTTCAACTAGTTGTAATTCCAGATCATTTGAAATAGTACATATTCGTCGGCTCACTGTTTCGGCAGACATAGGAATACTGTTAATTTTCATAGCATATTCTTCACCAAACATTTCTCTATAAACTTCTTTGAAACATGGTTTTATTAGTATCTCTCCTATATTATATGGTTTTTTGGACTTCGCAATATACAATGCTATTAAGAAAGAACATTTCAAATATTTTTTATCAGTTGCAACATATTTTGTCAAACTTGATTTGTTAGCTTTTAATTCTTTAAGTTTTCTTATGAAAAATTCCGATGGTTTATCTTTATATTCTTTATGATGTGTTTCCAAATGTCTTAAGAGTTTATTACTTTTTAAAGATGCATTCGCTAATACATTTCCACAAATAACACATTGAGGTAAATCGGTTTCATTTTCTTGAATACAGGTAAAACCATAATTTAAATATTTTTCTTGATATTTATAAACAAATTTTTCTACTTTTCTTCGTTTTTCTGAAGGTTCAGACGAAGTACTGGGAGTTGGTGAATCAGTTTGTCTAATATTCTTTGTTTGAAGATAATTAAACAATGTACTTTGTTTACTCATTTTTAAAATAAGAGTTGTTAACTACAAAATAATCATTTTAAAAAACAAAACTACACTCAGATAGTTACATACCTGGAACACTGTGAAACTAAATATTGTGTAACTTTAACGAAGAGTTTTTTTATTTGTGTAATAACACCAGCACTGATTACTTGTGAACTCAAGCACTTTTAGTTTTTAAGACTGTGTTTTCGTTTTGGGGAACTTCCTCGTTCTGTGTAGGCGAAACTGTTTTCGTGGTACGAATATACAAATACGGGTGCAGAATGAGAAGTACTTTTATTTTACTAAATAGACAAGGGTGAGTTTAAGCTGTTTATTCGACACTGCCAAACACTTCTTTTTTGTCGGGTCTGGGTCATTTGTTTTCTGTCAAAGTTTACAATTGTCTCCAATTCAAAGTGGACCATATCCGGGTGTCGTAAATCTGGAATCCAGAAGCGGTACACTTGGGATGTGCCGTAGCTAAAGAGGATTTTATGATTGCCAAATGTTTCGAGAACAGACTGTTTTATATGTCGACATTGATTCTCTTCAAATATTGGCGACCCATTTTTAAAGTTTCGCGACCCAAAATTGGGTCGCGACCCATTGGTTGCGATCCGCTGATATAGCCTATATGTAGATATGATACATGGACTATCCAACACAAAAAGAATTTTTGAATTTGAACCAGTAGTTTCTGAGATATGCGTGTTCAAATAAACAAAAGCTTCAGCTTTATTATATAAGTATAGATAATATAATCCCATTTCTTTATCAGAAACTTTTAAACGAAATAAAACCTACTTGGCTAGAAATAACGGCAAACTTGTGTTAGGCTCATCTGGCAACGTTGTAAATTATCTAAATGCTGACTATGAGATTTTTACACATTTTTTTCGTCGCCCTCTATCGAGAGGTAGATTTATTAAATGTATTGTTGGTGTGATTTGTGTTACCTATGCGCGTGATTGGTGTCCAAGCTTTTCGCCGGCGTTTGACGGCCGACTGTTGGTGCGCTATCTCTTGTTCGCCGGCCGTTGGCCTGTTCGCTCCAAACAATAGCATGGGCAGTGACTATGTATTTAAAAGACCGGCAACCCCGTATCCTTATGCGTACCAGTGAGTTAATATTGGCGGTCAGAGGGCGCCTTAAAATGCGACAAAAGCCCTCTAACCTTCAATGGTTGTTACTAATACCATTTTACGGATTGTTGTCTGAGCTTGTACAACACAACTACTGTAAGTGGATCGCTCTTGCAGCCGTTTTAGTGTGAAATTTAACAAGTCGGACGGCACGGAAAATTACTGACACTTTGCGACTCGAAGGGTGGGGGACCAAAAATCTGTTTCAAAATAGCATAACTTTATTATTGAATGACGAATTAAAAATGCAACTGTTAACATTTATAAAACAACTTTATAGAATACGATCTGTACCATATCGACTTGCTTCGCAAATTTTTGTTTTAACACGGCGCATTAAATTCCTGAAAGCCAATATTTTTGTCTGCCAAATTTTCAGCAATACACAACACTTAATTCTATATGTGTGAAGGGTTCCTACCCTACATTTTTCACACAAATTCCTCTTTAGATTTCTCCAAAAGCGTTCAATTGGTCGCAGTTGTGGGAAGTTCGGAACATTTTTGTCCTTTGGAATAAACTGAATATTTATGTCATTATATGCATCAAAGCGCGGGCATAACAGGCTAGGGCTCTGCCCGAACGCAAAATTAATAATAATAATAATAATAATAATAATAACGTTGGCTGCGTAATGGTAATGATTCAGAATTTTTTTTTTAATTTTTGCTTTTGTTCCAATTTTTGTTTTTCTGAGTATCGAAAAATCGAGATGTTAAAAATGGAAAAATTGATAAATCGAAATCTCAAAAATTGAAAAATCGAAAATTTAAAAATTGAGAAAACTGAAAAATTGAAATATAGAAGAACTGAGAACTCGAGAAATCGAAAAATCTAGAATTTTAAAATTGAAAAATTACAATATCGTGTTCGGGTTTCGGGTTTTACCCAGCAACCCTTGTCAATGCGTCCCCAACTTTCTTTTTATGAGTCATTCACTACCTGCAATGTATCTCTTTCGAATTTGTTCACAATTTGTACGTAGGTTCCGAACCGTCAACAACAAGAAAATACAGTGTCACACAGCACATGTTTGTGTTTCATTTTTATCAATCATATTTCGGTACATATGTATGAGTAACAATCATACATCCAACATATCGAGAAGTCGAAAAATTGAGAAACCGAAATATGAAACATCGAAAAATTGAAAAATATAAAGTTTAAAAAATGAAAAAAATACAAAATCGAAAAATTCGGAAGTCGAAAAATCGAAAATTTTAAGAAACGAAATATTGAAAATTTCCAAAACTGAAAGAAATATTAAAAATTGAGAAATAAAAAAATTGGAAAATTAAGAAATAGAAATACGAGTATGTACTGAAGGACTGAAAAATAAAAAAATCGAGAAATCGAAAAATCTAAAATTTAAAACATTGAACAATTACAATATCGCAAAATTGAAAACTCGAGAAAACCAAACATCAAAAAATCGAAAAATTTAGAAGTCGAAAAATCGAAAATTCGAAGAAACGAAATATTGAAATATCTCAAAACTGAAAGAAATATTAAAAATTGAGAAATAAAAAAATTGGAAAATTGAGAAATAGAAATATGTACTGAAGAGCTAAAAATAAAAAAATCGTATGTCTGTCTGTTTGGCGTCTGTATCAATTTTTTTTAGATACCTAACCTCCGAAACAACTGTACCGATTGTTGTCAAATTTTGTACATGTTTGTAGTATCATGTGGCCGATAAAACGGTAACCAAAATTTGGCTAATCATTCCCACCAACAATTTGATGACATTATTTCAAAGAATTTTATTTTAAAATGATTTACATGTTATGCAATAATATACGCCTATAGTTGTGGTGTACGAATCAGCTTTGCGTTTTTCCTTAAACTAGGTACCAGCACGGGATGTAAGTAAGCCCTCGTAGACTTGTTGGTTATTGAGGAGAACGCCGATCTGCACACCTGCAAGTTCGATGCCAAACTTTCTCTTTTTTCTCTCGCTATGTGTACTATCTGTATTTATGACGGGATAACAACATTTTTATTGATCAAATTAAGTCACCCCATTTTATCTGTTTATGCGAGAATACGCATGCCTGTATTTAATAAGAATTACTCCTATAATAATAATATTCAGAACATTTTTTTCGACTGTGGGTTTGTTGGACTCGTACTTCAAGCGCGAAGGGAGTTCTGTGGAAATATTCGACCATTTTTTTTTATTTTGATAATGCTTATTTGATACGTATGACTTCTATGTAATAATTGAACAATCTGAATATATGGTACTGTTTTTCTCCTTTTATACCAGTAAACTGCAGATGTTATTCGTAAGCTAATTGTTGTAAAAACTGGAAGTTATTTATTATGTTAAATAAGTATGTATTAAACGTGTACACACCAATACTGTTCTTAAACTGTAAACAATATTCTATATATATATATACGAGTGGTCGTTCATTTTTTTATTTAAATAAAGGATGAATTTAAACGCATACACCAGGCATCCTCTAAAAAATTGGAATTTATTGACATGTTGTCAACATGTGCTTATCATAACAATAATTAAAGGAAAACTAACATTTGGTTAAAATTAGATAAAAACTTTTCACCAATTCATTCGGAGATGGGCTATTTTGCTTTAACGTAATCGCACTGGCCACGAGGCTGATGACGATGGGTTGGTGTTCGTCCAGACTACTGTTAACGTAGTTCACAAGAAAAAAGGAGGGAGAGCCACTACCCACTACTACGTTTGTGGATGAAGTGAAGTGAGGGGTAACTGCCCCTTCACAATGGACATAAGACATAAGAACGAGCGCATAACATAATTTACGTTTTCGGTTTGTGTCTGGCTTATGCTTATCTACGTTCACAGTGGACAGAGTGAACTCTGTAAGAATTGTTAAACTGCGCAAACGCAGAAACTCCCGGCTAAAGATAGAAACGGCTAACCTCAAACTGAGTCAATCAAAATATCTAACCTACAATTTCATACGATATTCGAACTTGACAACTCGCAGTACAGAACAAACTCGCAGTGTGAAGCTTTGATTATAATTTATATAATATAATCAAAGGTGTGAAGTGCCAAGTGCCAACTGTCAAAGGGAATTCAATAGCAGCATTCAAAAGTCCCTAGATTTTAACATAATTTTGACATAATTCGTGCACAAAGTTGAACTTGTTTCAACTTTGTGTACGCACACAAGGATTACATAAAACGTTCATAAGCATAAGAATTATGTTCGTCCACTGTGAACAGGGGTACACGTTTTCCATCGTTTCAACTTTATGTATTTATGTAAGCTTTATGTACTTGTTATGCCTTATGTCCATTGTGAATGGGCAGTAAGAGGGTGTATTAGCCCAGCACTTGTCTGTAAGGTTGCCTCTCTTTTAACATCTATACTCACTGGCATGGGTCTATC